GTTCTAATCATAAGTAGCTCGCTAATGACTTAGATGGCGTTGGGCAACATTTTGTCCCTTTATAGCAAACAACAGATTCGGCAGAGTTGTTTAAATGGGCCAACGTCACCTCTCGCGCGGGTCCTGGATGATGATGGTGTAATCGTTTGTCGGTGAAGATGGCCAGTGTTCCCTTCCTCTTTACCACTGACTTCACTCCCACGGTTACCGTTTCGTATGTCCCTTACCGTTAGCATTTCCATGGCCCTCACGAGCAGTTACCGACGGCGCTGCATTCCCCACCGGTATCTGTCGGATATTTCGTGACCACCCCTTACTCCGAATGGACCTGCGTTAATTTAATCTGTGTTGTGTTTGTATCTTTCTACTGCTTGCAAAGTGACATTAACTATAATAATTATTATAATGAAGTTCACCGCTTTTGCCCTTTGTTTTATTACGTAACCCTCCTAGACTGAAATTAGGAAAAAGTTGGGCACTTCTTTCACGGTTCTTTTTCTCGGAGCCTAAAACGCAACACAAACCTCCCAATCAAAAAAGAACAGCACTTGGCATGTTTGTGTGTAGGGGGTTGAACATTTGGGAATGGAGGAGGGGGGAAGGGGTGGTAACTGAGTTTGAACAAATTTGGATCGCTTGGTGATAGCATTAAAGCTGTGACGTCGTTTGTAGCGACGGGGACAGTGTTCAGGGCCTCTCGTGTGTCACTGACTGCCAGGATTTATTCCCTGGATAGAGATCGGGTTTTTGATGCTGATTTTTCCTTTCTGTTGATGATGATTTACTTTTGTACATGAATTTAAGAAGTTCTACTCAAATAGGCAAAGCAAGCTGTCCCTCGGGTCTAGTTTCGGAAGCAGAGAGACTTTGCTTCTAAACTGAGTGTGCTCCTGCCATTCTCATCAAAGTCGCGTACAGTGAAATCAATGATAGGCAGCAACTCGGGATTCTTTGTCTCAATGCGTATTTTCGTTGTGGCGCCTGAGGATCGGTACTAAAGGGGCGGAAGAAACAAAATTATGCATGCATAAAAACCCATGTCTTGTACTCTATTATCAAGGTAAAGGTATGCCGAATACATCTATTGGTAAAAACAGATCGTTTCCAGTAGAAGCAAAAATAAATTCCCGCATATGGTTAATCTATAGCAGCCTTACACACCCCATTGTTTCTGAGCATGTCATTATCGTACTGAAAAACCTATCTCATTGATATAGAGGACACTACTGAGGCGACGTTGCAGTTTGCGAATAAAAATAACTTATTCCCTGACATCGACGGTGAATTTTTCAGTGGTTTATGTTTTATTGCCGTGAGCACTGGATCAGAGTAAGCATATTTTACTCCAGACTGGTTTTCTTGACAAGTTATGCAAACATATAATCACTATCTATGTTAGTATTTACATAACTAAACAGTTCTGAGATTTCACACTCAGATAACAATCGTATGTTGGCAACAATGTCTGGGGACGAACCACCCAGACAGTACCATCGATTTCCTGATTTTCAATTTTTGATGGGTTGGCATGAACGTACTTTTTTACAAATACAGTTGGCCTCTACAGATAATCCGAAGAGTATTGCTACAGTCTTCCGAGAATGTTTATTTAGGACGCTGGTATGGCTCAGTTTGTTTACGAGAATATAGGCAAAATAGTCTAGAGCACAGTTTTGTTTCCATTACCCCTGCACTTATGGTGAATTCTTGCCACAGGCACATGTGTTCGGATATTTAAAGTTCAAACTTCCCTGTCATTAGTTTGGACATTCCTTCAAGAATTTGAACGGTAACAGATCTTGATAAGACTTAAATAACAAAGGCATGAAACACTTCGTACTTGCAAGAAAACATTAACCATCCTCTCGCCTATGTCGAGCAACGTACCCGGCAGCCATCATATTCCAACTGCACCGTAAGGTCCTTTCGTCGCAGGGCATCTTCAAAGACGATTTCGTCCATGAACCCGTGACTGGCTCCAAGGCTTTTGCCCCTGGTTAGGTCAATAATACGCTCATTATGCGCCAGGAAACTGGTCGCCTTGGACATGTCGACCTCCCCGGTTTCATAGTCCATGCCACCGAAGATGGTCGTACCCTCACAGAAGAACTCAATCTCTTGGCTTGCAAAGCGGTGTTGAATCCGTAGCATGTTTACCTGGGTGTGAGGGTTCTGATCATGTAGCTGAAAAGTTAGAAGTACGAAGATATTCACGGTGCTG